TGATTTTATGCTAGAACATGAGCCAACAGATGGCAATTTGGCAAAATTAGGCCAATTGCAGGCAGTATAATGTTTAGAGCTTTAAGTCTTGAGTTTAGAAATTCTGCTCCGGGGAGCTGCATCACAAACCCAACAGGAACTATCTTCTTAGGCTGTATAACATTTCTAACATTAGGTAGGAGTCTCACTAGGTTTTTCCACCAACGTAAAGACAGCCAGCATGCCCTGAGGCACACAGCCTGCTGTGCATTTGAGTGCTAAATCAATGGAAGCGACCCTTGGAGCATGAAGATAACAGGAAATCCCTGAATGTTCTGAATCTCAGATTACTGGAAGCTTGGGAGCATGCCAAGGATGTACCATTGCATGCATGCCTGCTCTTAGCTGTATCCCTGGGCACCTGCTATCAGCTACTGTTAGATGTAGAATATGGGGCAAGGCTGTGGCAAGCTCAATCACAGAGCTCTTGGAAAAAAAACTCTTGAAAAATCAAAGCTAACATTCATTATAGTCCTTAATGCAACAAACAAACAAACAAACAACAACAAAAAAAAACCCACCCCAAACCAACCCACCTTTTGTAGAGCATGTCTTACAGCTTCCAAGCACTAAGAGCAGCACTAAGGATGCCATGCCACTCCTGTACTTTTATGTAAAACTACTTTGTGGTCCTTGCACCAGGCCTGCAAAAAGACTGCAGCTGGAGGCACAAGGCTTCCTAGGGACAGGGTGTCTGCTGAGAAGCAATGGTGTCCAGGGGACAACAAAGAATGGAGCCCAAAGAGATCTTCTCTAGTTACATCCTTATAAGCCAGCTGTGGTGAATCTGGCTGAGGTGAAAAATGACAGAAAGACTAAGGCAGAAGGCTTTCCAACACCCACAACTGCATTATCCCAAAGGATTTGCAGGCAAAGTATAAAGTTTGTTATAGCAGGGATTTCTTAGCAGCACGTCTGGAGCTCAATAGTTGCTCAATAATGGCATATCAAGCTAATAAAATCGAAATATTTTTCTTTAACATTAAATATCATCCCGTAGCTAAAAGCAAATAACAGGAGAGGGCTGATGTGTTCATCCACACCAGAGTGGGACAGCAGGGGTGGCTCTTCCCATCACCATCACTTCTGGATCGTGTCAGAGTCCCTTTGGCTGTGGCAACTGGGGCAGGTGGAGAAGGAGTATATCCATTGTCTTCTCCATGAGGACTGGAGTTGGTCTGTGCCATCAGCTCTGCCAGGGCACTGGGGACAGTGTGAGGGTCTCCTGGCAGATACACAGCTGCTGAGGGATGTCAGGTGCAGGCAGCTTTACACAAGGGCTTTGTGAAGGCTACTGGTGCCTACAGACTTCAGTCTTTCAGGATCAGTTAATCAAGTTAACTGCAGCACCTGAATAAATAACATAAGGGAACAGGTGATTTTGTTTCTGAAAGGTGCTGGTGAATTTGTGATGCAGGGTACTGGAGAACTGCTCAAACAGAGGTGGTCTGTTGTGGAGCACACTCTGCCTGTTGGAGAGCACAAGTGACCTGAGAGTGTGTTTGTGAGGAAAGCTACTGGACAAA